CTGCCTGCATACCATGGAAGGGGCTTTGCTTGTTTGCATGGACCCGTTTGTGGCATGCCGGTCCACTGATCGGGGGTTGGAGACTCCTGCTTTAGACTGTAGAGCCCAAAAGCTTATGACAATAAATCACGCCGTACCCAGTGGTGGGATTCAAATATGTGAACAATCTGTTCTCTGTAATGGATGCCGCTTCCGGAAGTCCATTCTGGGCCTGGGCAACAAAAAATTAGCTACCGGTTCTGCCGAAGTGGTGTGAACCAGCTGAATCCCACCACTGGTCGTACCCTCAAAAAGTGAAATAGATCATTTGTTATTTACCAAGGAAAATTGTTTGTTGTACTTTGTTGCAAATGAAACAGCTAGTGAAGGATAAAATCCTAAAACCAAATTATTATATAAAAGCAAACAAAGAGAAGATGTTAAAAATGTTGATAAGGAAAACATTTTAAATGTAGCAGAATCAAAGATGACATACAAAACTGAACAGTTACAACAGTAAATGAAAAACTGGAAACATAGCTCTCTACATGGTCAATACTTGAAAGGAACTGAAGGCAAGGTGGATAGTAACAAAACTTGGCAAGATCCATCAAGAAGGAAACAAAAGGCTTGATATTTGCAGCACCTGAAAAAGCACTAGCAATGCAACAAAAAATAAAATTAAAAAACACTCAAAACTCTTATGCAAAGAGAAGACAAGATTGTTGACCCTATAATTAGGAACTGTAGCAACATTGACCAGATAAGTCAAGATTTTATTTATTGATGAAAATTTATATGGCTGCCCAACTTTATTGTCAGTGACTCTGTGATAAAATCAGATGGCAAAAATGAATTTTGCAATTAATGCAAAAAACATGGATCTGATGCCTCCAACTATTGTTACAACATAATATTGGATTATGATTATGTAAAACATTTGTAGGGTTTCAAATTCAAATTGTCAGACCTGCCAAACACTTAAACCTCTAAGTAGAAACAATCCTTGTCTCCATTTGCTGAGAAAGGTATAGTTTTATTAGAAGTCAAGTGCATTGCAGTAGTGCATAGCCAGAACTGAGAATCGTGCACCAAAATCCCTAAGTTCAACTTTTTCTCCCTTAACCGCCTCCAATCGCTGACACACACACTCATGACCAATCAGGTTTCAGCAAGATGTTTTCAGAACAGTCATTTCAAGTGTAGGTTGGTATGCAGCTGCATTCTTCTCCCAGCTGGTTGACCTTGAAGCAGTATCTCAGGGAGATACAGCAGTTAGTTTTGTTTTCCCCCAGGCATTCTCCCTCCCATCTACCCTCCCCAGAGTTCACCGCATGGCAACAAAGCACACAAGCAAGCATACAGTGGCAGCTGACACAAATGGACAAACATTTAGAGCTTAACCTGCCAAACATAATTGTAGTTAAAGGAAAGCAAGTTGTGGTTATAAATGCAGCAATACTAAATGGCACTAGAGTCGCTCAGAATGGATGGGAAAATATGATAACAGCAATAGCACTTAGACTTATATACTGCTTCACAGTACTTTACAGCCCTTTCTAAGTGGTTTACAGGGTCAGCATATTGCTCCCAATAATCTGGATCCTCATTTTACCAATGTTGGAACAACAGAAGGCGGAGTCAACCGTGAGCTGATCAGGATCGAACTCCTGGCTGTGGTCAGAGTTTGCGTGCAATACTGCATTCTAACCACTGTGCCACCATGGCTCTTTTGGGAAAATGGAAAAACATCAAGCCAGGGTTTTTTTCTTTAAAAAGCTATTAAATATTTTTTCATAAGTAAAAAGCAAATCTAATCAATAAAATAGAAAGAAAAGGAAAAGAAAAAGACAATAAAATGCATAGAAAACAAAAATGAGAAATAATTAAAGAAACTAAAGTAGACGACGTCTGATCTTATCAACAGATATTAACAAACTGATCATCTCCTCTCCCTCTTAACTGTTTCAAAATCCTTCCAGCCCTTTATTTAATTGTCTTCTTTTTCAACCATTAAATATTTCACTTTTTTTCTTCTTTTAGCAAAAAAAATCCATAAAAGGTCTCAAATCTTTTTTTAAAAAAAATAATTGCTGTTTTCTCCCTGACCAAAATGGTCAGTTCCATGAACCATTCCTCCACTCTGGGAATTTCATTTGTCTTCCATCCTTGTGTGTATTTTGCTGCCCTTACCACATACAAAATCAATTTTCCAAATTTTAAATTTGCTATTCATAAGTCCGAGTTTAAAAAAATGTTGGTGTCTTTGTGGTACTAATCTCTTAAAATTCTTTGTATCATTATACTGTATCTATTTGCGGCCAATACTTCTTAGACTTTTCACAAGTGAAAAATGTAATGGTGAAATGTTTTCACATTTTCAACATTGACTTGTGGTACTTTTTTTTTTTCATTTTTGAGCATTTCTCTGGTAACATGCACATGATTTTATTAAAAAAAATATTTTAAATTATAACACTATAAATGTTGTCCTGTTTACCCACATTTTTCTCATGCATTCATCTATACTTAATAATAATTGCTAGCTCATTTTATCATACAGTCCCTGATTTGTTTCTCTAGTTTCAAATCTTAATAAAAGTTCATACGTTTTTGCAATTATATCTTCACAATTGGTACATAATTTATTTTCAAATTCCATTTTATGTTTTTCAATTCCAACTACCATTTTGTCTATATTAAATCTTACTTTCAATTTTGTATCTGAAAAACTATGTCCCTCTCAAGTCAGTTGTTCTCTTGACTTAATCTTAAATTCTCCATCTTTGTGTATTAATAAATCTTGATAGGTTAGGATTTTCCCCCATTTGTTGTTTCTCTTTTGTAAAAGTTATTTTGGGGCACAATTCTGGGTTTGAATTTATTCCATTTTCTTAATATTGCACTCTCCACATAATGATTTTTAAAACTACATTAACTTTATCATATCCTAAAAAGCTATGCCAACTAAACCTCATTATGTTTTCCTAATTCTAACATTCTTCTATTCTTCTATTTCTCAGCCAGATCCATTCTCTCATCCAAACAGGATGTAAAAAACAATCTAAAGTGTTCAGAATAGCCTTTTCTGGAGATTTAGTGGAAACTTTAGTTGTTGTTGTTGATGATGATGTCATCATCAACAACTGATATTTAAACTGATATCGTATTTTTTTCTCCTTTTCACTGTTCTGGCTGTCCCCAGAACAGCCCTATGAGACAGACTGGGCTAAGAAAAAAAAAAGACTGCTCAGTCACTCAGTGAGATATCATAATTAAAGGTTGATTATTTTATGCACTTTTTACTGCATTTTCTGAATTATTTAGTTTCTCTAAATTTTAAACATTTATTAGAAAGTATTGTTGTTGTTGTTAGTTGCGAAGTCATGTCCGACCCATCGCGACCCCATGGACAACATTCCTCCAGGCCTTCCTGTCCTCTACCATCTTCTGGAGTCCATTTAAGCTCATGCCTATTGCTTCAGTGACTCCATCCAGCCACCTCATTCTCTGTCATCCCTTCTTCTATTGCCCTCAATCTTTCCCAGCATTAGGCTCTTCTCCAGTGAGTCCTTCCTTCTCATTAGGTGGCCAAAGTACTTGAGTTTCAACTTCAGGATCTGGCCTTCTAAAGAGCAGTCAGGGTTGATCTCCTCTAGGACTGACTGGTTTGATCGCCTTGCAGTCCAAGGGACTTGCAGGAGTCTTCTCCAGCACCATAGCTCAAAGGCCTCAATTCTTTGGCACTCAGCCTTTACCTAATCAGTCCCTGCACCATCAGTGCTTTGATAGGTTTTTCTTTTCAATCTGCAGGCAAGATACACAAGAGATGATGGATTTGGCCTGAATTAGTCCCCAAATTTAGGCTCTGTTTCTCCAGCTCGTTCAAGTTTTTTCCTTCTAATAGAAGACAATGTATGTAGCTCAGGGTTGAACCATGGAGTCCTTCCTGCTCTCTGAGCTTAGTTGTTTGCTTGCAGATGTTTCATTACTTGACTAAGTATCATCTACAGTGCTAGTGAATGTTGGGTTTGCTCCCTGATTATATACTGTACCTTGCTCTGACAGTGTTGGTGTGTGTGTGTGTGTGTGTGTGTGTGTGTGTGTAATTTTCTCTTTAGTAGTTCCTTGATTAGAATATTGTTTACTGCTTGATTGTTTACCTGGTGTTAATTTCAGAGATTTTTTCTTTCCTTCTGTACAGCTTGTCCTTGACTTACAACAGTTCATTTAGTGACCGTTCAAAATGACAACGGCACAGAAAAAAAGTGACTTATGATCATTTTTCACATTTACAACCATTGCAGCATTCCCCATGGTCACATCATCCCAATTCAGACGCATGGCAACCGACTCATATTTACGATGGTTGCAGTGTCCTGGAGTCATGTGATCTGCTTTTGCGAGCTTCTGACCAACAATGTCAATGGGGAATCCAGATTCACTTAACGACCATGTTACTAACTTAACAAATGCAATGATTCACTTAACAACGATGGCAAGAAAAGTCGCGAAATGGGCCAAACTCACTTGACAGGTGTTTCACTTGGTAACATAAAATTTGGGCTCAATTTCAGTCGTAACTCAAGGACTACCCGTATTAGGGTTAGCCCCACATGCAATCGGATTTTGAATGGTTCATTCCCCCCCCACCTCCCATGATTGCCAACTGGGATCTCAGCTTGATCTTTGCCACTGCTTAAAGCAGGGGTCTTCAAACTTGGCCCTTTTATGACCTGTGGACTTCAACTCCCAGAATTCCTCAGCCAGTGTGCCTGGCTGAGGAATTCTGGGAGTTAAGGTCCACAAGTCATAAAAGGGCCAAGTTTGAAGACCCTTGGTTTAAAGAGTAGGGTGAGGAACATGGAGATATTTGCAGCTGTTCTTATTTGTATCAAATGTTTCTTGTTTCCTGACAGAATAATTTCCTTCTGGTGCCCCTTGTTTCTGGTGAGGATTTGGGAACAGACACATTAGCAAATACTAAGTACATATCTGTGTATTTTCTCTTTGACTGGTAGGCTGACAGCTCAATGGAGTGTGGAGGATGAGGAGGAAGCTGCAAGGGAGCGACGTCGAAGGGAACGTGAAAGACAGCTGAGGTCCCAGGCAGAAGAAGGACTCAACTGCACCTCTGAAGTGGCAGTGCAAGAAAGCAAGTAAGTCTGTGTCTGGGATATCAATGGAGCAATGAGAGTCAGACTGAACTACTGTAATGTTTTAAAGGAAGTTAAGAAATTTCACTTAATGCAGAACTGGGATTTCTCACTAGGCATTGACTCATAGGAGTCAGAATATTGTCACTGCTCAGCTAAAATGCTGCTTTAGTTGGAGAAAAGTCTAGTTTTCTGAAGGACTATCCTTATCAACCTGACTTCACTTTTGTATCAGCAAAAGTGGCTTACCTTAGTTCCCTGTCTCTGAGAACAGGCAGTTGTCAGGTGTGAGGCATAGATACTTAGCTGCAGTGGCTCCAGCTTTCTGGAACTCATTATCAACTGATGTTCATCTGTTTCCTTTGGTGTAGGCCTTTAAGAAAACCCTCAGATTTTCAGCCTTATCTTTCCTTATATAGTTGTGGGGACTACAGTTGTTGGGTTTTTTTTTAGTATTAATGGAAAATAGGGATGCTTAATTAACACTACCATGGTCAGTGGGATTAACATGTGCATTTATTGTTTGCAGAGATTTGCCTCCCAGCTGTCTTGATGGGGATTTGTGGCCTAAAAGGCAATTTTTAAACATAATGATTGAATGTAAAGTTGTCCATCAGCGATCATCACTTATAAATAAATACGTGGCTGATAAAGAAATCTGTAGGCGTCTTACTAGGAATAAATTAATTTGATACATATAATAACACACACACAATTTCATACTGAGAAACAGGAAAACATGATCTGCATATTATGTCAGCACAGCACAGAACAAATGAATCAACTTCATGAGGTTGCAAGTTAAGCACAGTAATATTACTGGATACAGTACTATTCAGGAATATCATGGACTTTCTCTACATTTGGCTTGCTAAATCTAGTGAAGACTATTCCAGGGATATAAGAGATTCTTAGAATTCCCAGCATAGCCAATTCTGGACAGAAGCACATCAGGTTGGAGAAGAGCTGCTCTGTGTGATTAAATCAGGGAGCAACCATCAACCAGACAGTCAGTATAAATGGGATTAATAAGTACAGTCCTTGACTTACAGCATTTCATTTAGTGACCGTTTGAAGTTACAACATCACCGAAAAAGTGACTTATGACCATTTTTCACACTTACAACCATTACAGCATCCCCATGGTCATGTGATCAAAATTCAGAGGCTTGGCATATTTATGACAGTTGCAGTGTCCCAGGATCATGTGATCACCTTTTGAAACTTTCTGACAAGCAAAGTCAATGGAGAATCCAGATTCACTTAACAACCAAGTTACTAGTTTAACAAGTGCAGTGATTCACTTAACTGTGGCAAGAAAGGTTGTAAAATGGGTCAAAATTCACTTAACAAATGTCTCACTTAGCAACAGAAATTTTGGGCTCAGTTGTGGTTGTAAGTTGTACCTGTATCATATTTTGTGGTGTTCCATGCAAGTGCTTTAGAATGCACTGCATTAATTAATGTGCCCGTATTGGTCAACTTGGTGGGTTGTCAGTTCTCCAAACTTGGTTTAGAGCAGCCATTCGCTGGACAATTTTTTACAATGTTATGTACATATCCATACATTCTTAATTATTTACAAATTGTAAATACATAAATATTTATATGTAAGATGCCCGGGGAAAGAAGAAAATTATGTTGCTAAAAAGACAGTGAGTGATTTTCAGGCAGGCCTCTTTAGGGAGGATATTTCACAGCAAGTCACAAATGGGCCCTCTTATATTGTAGCCATTGGCTGAAGTTCATTTGGTAGTGGGACTTGGAGGACTCTTTCCAGTAGCTCAAACTAACAATTGAGGATCCTAGCAACAAAGATCCCAACTATACTTTAGAGAAGGTGTGTGAATGAACCCTCACTGCAAACTCATCATTTTATTCTATTTCTTCCACTTCAGAAGTGCCAAAACCCTTAGATATTTCAGCTACTTGAAATGAAGAGCTGCTACCTGAGGTTTAGGATGCAGTGGCAGCCTTCTCAAAAAGATGTCCAGAGTGATTGCTTCAAAACTGGTTGTGAGACAGCAATAGGAGAATGAAAGACAAGCCACAAAGCATTTTCACTATCGTTGCTCAGCATCTTCCACTTTGGGCAGTTATTATTATTATAAAATTTATTGTCATTGTATGTGCGTACTAGTATACATATACAACGAAATTTACTTGACACCCAAAAACCAAGTCCCACACACATAATCCCCAAACACACTCCCCCCCCACAATCGCCACCCCTAAAACCACCCAACATCCACACAACAGACATGAGTGTGCATAATATAAAAACTAATCTTAACAAAGTATCTCTTTACTAGTTTTCTAGTTTCTAATTATGAAAATATCTATTGTATATTTGCTGGTAGAAATCATAGACAAATCTATATATGCCTTACTTAACTAAAATGTATTGATTTTTATGAAGATTCTGAGAGATTCCTGCCTAAAGCTCCCAGAGCAGAACATAATAAGCCACAAACACTGTTGAAAACCAATATTTTCCACTAGATCAGTGGGAGGCATCCCAACTTTATTTTTTACAAAGCCCTTTGTAATGCAAAGTCTATATCAGTCAAGGCAGTCTGTCGGCCAGTTGCTTCTCTACCAGTTGCTGGTAGAGGCTTTCTTTTTCTTTTTCTGAATGCATAAGCCAATGGCTGGTTTTAGCAGCTTTACTTTTGTTCTTCAGAAGTGGGGACCTAGAGAAGGTGCTCCAGTTGAAGTATAATTGAAGCAAAGCACCTCTTTTAAATTTTGCACAGCTTTATATCCCATTTATTGTGGGAGCTTCATTTACGGAGAGATTGGAAGTTTTCACTAGAAGGCAAGAACCTGGAGGGAAAAGAAACTGATTGAAGAAATGGAGAATAGGAGGGACATTATTTTGCTTTGACTTGCCTGCCAAATATTCCCTGCAAATATTTCACCAACCTAGCTGGCCCTGGCCCAGGGGACAGCAATGGCCGAAGGAAACTGAATGGTGATGTACATGACAGTACTCCTTCACACGTTTCAGTCCATCGTTAGAAGGGCTCCACTCACTCCTAACTTTTCATTGGCTAGGACTAAGCCATATGCTTGCTGAGACAACATCCAATTGGAAAACAAAGCCTCATTGATATCTAGTGGCAATGGGAGTAGTTTTGGAGAGGTTAATAAAAAAAAATACAAACAAGGAATTATTTCAGAAAAAAACAATGTTCTCTTTTCTTTTCCAATGGGCTTGATAGATTTCATTCTGCTCCCTAGCCATTTCTGCAGCTGTGATTCTGGCTTCAAAAGCCAGGATGCTAATACAGATTTTTTTCCCTCCCCTTCAGTAAACTCAACTCCTCTTTAGAGTGACTCATCCACTTCTGGTAAGCTGTGTTGCTGTACATAGCCCCTTCCAAAACACAGCTATCATAAATTGCCTGAAGGTCCAGGTTACCTTTGCTTGACATCCCTTACTTAGTTTCTTACTCCAAAGCATCCATTCACAACCAGATGTTCTCCAGATGTTTTGGCTTACAACTTCCCTAGCTAAAGACAACAGTGTTGACGATCAAGGCTGATGGGAGTGGTAGATCCCCAAATCCGGCAGACATGGAGTTGAGGGAAGCTGTACTGATCTCCATGTTTAGAAGTTAGTCACTTCTGAGTATTATAGCTAATGTTTTGGACACAAGTAAGGGAGTGTGTATTGTTTCCATGCCTTTGTGGTTTCCTGAGCACCTGGCTGATTTACATTGAGGGAAAAAAAAATACTTCGCTAAATTTGTATTCAGATTTAAAATTCCAATAAAAATCCTCTTTAGAATACATTCTAAATCTCTTCAGTATTTTTTCTGGTTTTGCCCCTATGAAATGACAGTTTCAATTCCTTTTTCCAAGTTAGCCCCTCCCAACAGGTTTCAAATTAATTCACACTCTTCATTTGGTGGGGGGAAAGTAGATCTTTTGAGCAATTTTCCAAAGTCTTTTTCTCTCAACCCAACTTACCTCACAAGGGTGCTGTGGGAACGAAATACAATGAGGGAATATTCTGTGTGCTGCCTTAAGCTCCTAAATCAAAGGTGGGCTATACATCAAATAAATGAATCATTAAAAGTGTCTTTCTAATTGCAAAATTTAATTCTCTCATGGATATTGATAAAAAATATCAAGTGATGCTGAGACATCCCTTTGATACCCCAAATACATTATTCGCTTTACCTTATCAGAAAAGAAGGGTCACTTTTTATTTCTTCCAGCATCAGAAAAATCAGTGTTTTAAAATCCTATTGATTAAACTGGTGTTGAAGGTGATTTAAAAAAAAAAATCCATACTCCCCAACTGCCTGGAAGAAATTGGTATACATAATAGAATGTTGCAAGCTGGTTTTAAGACTGTCCCATGTAATTGAATTAGAAAAAAAAGATAGATAATCTTTTATGGCCCATGAGGCACATTTGTGAGTTGTAGCTGCAATGTTAACTTTTTTCCTAACAAAAGACTGCCGTTGTGAACATACCATGAATTTTCTCCATTGAACAGAAAATAGGGGATGTTACTTCTAGAAATGCCTCATCCCAACTTCTCTATTGTTCTAGATCAGGGGTGTCAAGCTCGCAACGTCATATGACGTGTTGTGACGTATCACAACTTTTTCCTCATTGCCGGAACTGGGGTGGGTACAGTTTCGGCATGATGCTTTCGGCCTGTGGGCTGGCAGTTTGAAACCCCTGTTCTAGATTCTTTTTGTCTTGTTTTTTGAGCAGATAGGTGTTGTGTCAAGTTATATCCCACAGAGTGAACATTTGGTGGTTTAATCTTCTAGGCAAGCCAATGGTGCTTCTGTGAGGTTCTGAGGTTTTGTCAGGTGCAAAGAATCAGGACTATATGTTAAGATGCAGTCAAGAAGATTTATTGCTCAAGCCTATACACAAGAATCTGGCCAATTAATGCTCAATGCTAAATTGACAGTAGATAAAGGTCAACAAAATTCAAGAGGGATAGTACTTAGACTGTGTGTGGGAATGTAATAACTCCAGGGTGATGACCTGGTTAACTCTGGACCTGACTCTGCTTGTTTTTCTCCTACAGGTTTTCTCTTAAACATGGGCAATGTTATGTATTGGTACTTAATCTTTTCAGTATGGCAGTTTCCTATTTATTTAATTTTTAATTAAAAGATTGTTTTAAAACATATGATAGAGCAGGGGTGTCAAACTGCCAGCCCACGGGCCGGTTTCATCATACCGGAGCCGCGCCCACCCCATTGCCGGCAATGGCAAAAAAGCTCCGATACGTCGCACGACGTCACGTGATGTCGCGAGTTTGACATGCCTGTGATAGGGAGTCAAATGAGGGCTAAGACTTGAATTATTCTTCAGCTAGGTCACCTTGGGCACCTGTGAAGAAAATAATTGCTAACTGATTCCCTTTCATTTCTCTCTTTGTTTTCCTCCATCATCTTACATGTATATTTATATTTAGAAATGTAATATTTGTATGGTATCTTTAATAGAACTGGGTTCAGGTTAGAGGTGCCCAGTCCTTCTGCTCTGTGGGACAAGGAAACTTCAGTGTTAAAAAGGAGAGGAAATCAGAAAAAGAATAAAGCAATGCTCCCTTCCATTTGCTTGTAATCCATACTAGGATCTCCCTTTTAGTTAACTGTGTTCTAGAGGCTTGTGCATCTCTGTACTGAATTGCAATGGATCATAAGTTTGGAATGCAGTCTGTATATTTTGAAGGCCAATTGCTGGACTCTGGCCAGTTGCATTTAAGTGCTTCTTTCCTCTCTTCCTTTATTAATGAATGGAAGAGAAGAGTCATTCTTTATCTTCCTCCCTCCCACCATTTCTCCCTCCCTCCCTCTCTCTCTCTCACATACACATACACACACACACAAACACCACACACAATAAAACATGCATTTCAGCTCTAGTGAACTCCTGCAAATGTATCAAGTGATTTGCTGGCTTCAATTTTAATTGTCTGTGTGAATTAGTGTTTAGTGATGGGAAAATTTTCTGGTGACCTTGCTAGGGAACACGCAGAAGTCCACTGACAGGCTATTTGTTTGGTACGTTTTAAAGGCAGAATTTGGACCTGCTTGTTATTTAAGAGCAAACTCCTTTTTTATCCTGAGGCAAATTTAAAAGCGAGATAGTCTCTTCTTATATTCTTGATCCAGTTCTTGCTGATATTATTCAAATGTCAATGTCAAAGGTACCTTCCCCAATGCAATTATTTCACCTCCATGCCCAGCTTTATTACCCTCAGTCCCTTTTATACTACACAGCTCCCACAGTCCCAGACCCTTTAGTCTTCATTCCTCGCTCTTCCTATGCATTTGGGCAAGTCCAGTTTCTAAGAGGCTGTTCTGCTCTGAGCCATCCCTGATGTAAGAAATCCAGCCTTAAAGTTTGTGGCCTCATTGCCTTCTGGAATCTTCTATCTGAGATTTAGTTTGCACACTAAATCATGATTTAACAAAGGGATGCCAAATATATTACACTTAATTGATTTATATAACACTGCAAGCCATGCTTTACAGATCAGAATGGCTGAGTTCACAAAATATACTGAACATAAATGGCTTTCTCCCTTCCTTCTTTCAATTCTGAATGATATGTAGAAGTGACTCGGGCATCCTTGATTCATTAAGTGCCTTTTCTTTGATCCCAGTGCCATTGTGAGGGAACAGAAATGGGTTGGAATGTAGAGGACAGCCTTCCTTCTCCATCTTTACATTTTCCTGATGCCTCAGATAACTGTGGGGCAGGGCAAATGGTGAAACATGTGTCATGTTCCACATATGTACCTATATCAGATGTTGGGATACTAGTAAAGGACCTATGTACCTGTATCAGATATTGGAATGCAAGCATACTTGCTATATTTACGTGACAATGTCATCATACCTGTTTTCATTTTGGTCTCATTGTAGCTTGCAGTAGATACCTTTGAAAATCCCAATGTTTCTGAAAGAAACCAAGTTGTGAAATGTTCCCTTAAAATGATAATGTTAATTATAAAGCAAATGTCTTAGTATGATTTGTGGGCTTAGCTTATGCAATATATCACCAGGCTACATTTTGGGACCAAAGAATAATTTCTAATGTTAGGAAGATCAATGTTTTGGAGGGGAGCAAGGGCAAGGAAGTAATGAAGGCATGTGGCAGCATCAAGAGGCAAGCTCTGCCCTTGTGTACTTGCAGACAACATTGCAACTCAAGTACAACATGGCAGTACTTGTCATAATGCCACTATGCATATCACTCTGGTTAGGAACAGAAACCTGTATTTTGCACATAAACAGACACAACGTTCATAACTTTCTGTATGAACCTGGTGGTGTTCAACATCCTTTTCCCCCCTCATGTTCCAGGATTGATGGGAAGCCTTCTAGAACCTCAGAACTGGAAGAAGATGAAGGCTTTAGTGACTGGTCCCAAAAACTTGAACAGCGCAAGCAGCGATGGGGAGGAGAGGGAGTGCAAGAAGGGGACCAAATTCACCAAGGGGAATGCAGAGAAGCTCAACAAGCAGAACCTATACAGGGTGAAGAAAGGTAGGGAATCTTTTTCACTGCTTGAAAGGAAGTAGTAATTAAACATGAACTAACCAGAAAAGCTGGAAGAAACACAGCAGGTTTCCTGAACTTTGAAATAAGATCCACTGAATTTGCTCCAGATATGGCATACTATGTGTATGCTCCAAATATACAATACTATATACTGCAAACCCGGCAGATTTCTATTTAACATTCATGTTAGCTTGGTCAAATACAGCCTAGTCTGACCATCTGCTATGCTATGGCTATAGTCACATGTCAACCTTAACTTGGTTAATTTTCCTATGATTAGTCAATTAAACCCACTTTTCTGGTTTTATACAACTTATTTAACCATAAGCTAAACACCTTGATTAGGGGTAGGAGAGCTACAATATACTTGACAACAGTGTGGTGGTTAACTTGTAGCTTGGTATGTTCTGCAAACAGAACCAAAGAAATTGCCTGGAACAATGAACCAGCCTGATTGCTTCTGTGTTGTTATCAAATTTATTTATTGTCAAATTTGTTTGTCCCCCATCTCACAGTTCGAAACAACTCTGAGCTGTATATTGTAGCGATTGGTTTGTTTTTCTTAAATGGTTCTTAACAGAAGCCCTTTACCTTTAAAAACTTCATGACTAGGAAGAACATTAATCAAACAGTAATTAAAGATTTAAATCACCTGGGGAATTCCTTTCCTGTGGTAAAAGCACAGAGCATTTGCCAGGGAAGGAGATGTCAACCCAGGCTTAAGGTAGGCTAAAAGGACCTTATATGAATATATTACTAGCTTCATAAACAAGAAAAATTTCCATATATTGTTAAAGTCAGCTTCCACTAATCTTAGCCATATAGTTGCCTTAAAAATTCCAGCATGTAAGTCATTTTTTAAAAAAAATTGCCTCTACTTAGTCGCTAAAGGTACAAAAACATATTTTCTTTTGCTCCAGGTCAACCCAAGTGCTCCTCAGCAATTAGAGAGCTTTTGGGGGGGAAAAAGTCTTAGCTTGTGATCTTCAAACTTTGTCTTAGTATGTTGTATGAATGTAGTTAGTTGTAGTTTATTCCACAACCTGTGGTGAATCATAAGATGCACTTCAACTGTTGGTGCTTCTCAAATGATTATCTGTGGAACTAATTTGTAGTATGTACGTTTGTGAATTTACTTGCATGACTGATAAATTTGCAGGCATTAATTTTGCCATCCCATCTTTTTATAAAAAATATAGCTGCATACAAACATGTGTTTGAACTAGTAAATTATTTCAATTGGTAGAAGAAAAATGTAGAACACCTGCCACAGCTCAGAGCGAAGGAGGGGAAAGGGTGTTACCATTTTTAACTGAGGGAATGCATTTAGGAAAGACAAAACTTAAATTTTCTACTTTGTGGACTCAATTGAAAGTAAGTAGATTCCTACAGTGTGTTTTCTAAATTGTAATTCTATTTCAAGGCCTTTAGTAAGATACCTTCAATTTTATCACCCCCATGTTTCCCAATCCCATGGTTTTATTTTTAGAGTTTCTGAAAAAATGTTCCGTAGTTAAAGCAAGAGGGTTTAAATCTCTAATGGTGGCATTAGATTTTTCTAATCTAAAGGAAGATTTTTTCCTTTGGAAAACTTAATTCATTATGCTTAAGTTTCTTTTGGGGTTTCCCCCCTCCTTTTTCCCTTTTATAATGATCCAGGAATTGAGTACATTCAGCAAAATTTCTCCTACACATGATATTCAAATTCAATCAGCTCTTCCTCCAAACGTCTCTGGTTAATTCATTTTCTTCAGCAAATACAAACTGGATAAACCCCATCATCCTTTTTCTCTTGTGTTGCAGGCACTGGTTTTATTTAATATCTTCAAATTTATTTATTTATTTATTTAATATCTTCAAATTTACTTCAGTGAAACTGAACAAGCAATCATTTTTAGCAGGGTTGCACATTTGCACTAACCTAAGAATACTACACACACACACACACACACACACACACACACACACACACCAGAGTGCTGAGAAAAGGAGGGAGGAAAGATTCAGGAAGCAATTATTTGAAGCAACTGTTTGGATAAGGGTGAGGAGAGAGAATTAAAAGGAGCTGCTGCTTCTGCTCAGGAAGACAGAGCAGAAACTGGTATAGTTTTTAAGTTTGAAGATGTTTTTTACTTACCCCTTGAATAAATTCCTTTAATGAAATAAAGCAATGACTCTGAAATTAAAATTCCCCTGGAGAATTGGTGAACAAGGTTTGGGCAAACAGTATTCCATGCTATCCCATTCCATTCTGTCCCCAGTATGGTATTTGTGAGTCCTCCTATGTCCATTTTCATTAAAAAAAAAATCAAACTTATTAAACTGTTATGTTACAGCTTAATATCTCTATTTCCATGAATTTTGGAATTAAGAAACATTCTTAAAAATAAAGATGATAGACTTCAGTCCTTTGCTTGATTTGGATGTGGGTTTATGTACCATTCACTACCTTGGCAAATGAAATCAGCTTTTCAAATTGTATTGCTGAATTGGGTGAATGAAAATATATTGAAAGGAATGATTTGGAATTTGGAATCAACCAGATGTTCTTTTCACAGAGCACGTGTGATATAGTGGCTAAGGCACCAAGCTAAGAAACTTGGAGACTGTGAGTTCTAGTCCCACCTTAGTTACAAAGCCAGCTGGCTGATCTTGGGCTAGTTGCATACTCTTAGCCAGAGGAAGCAAGCAGTGGCAAATCACTTCTGAAAAGTTTGCCAAGAAAACTGCAGGGACCTCTATAGGCAGTCTCCAGGGGTCAATGCTAATTCAAAAGCACCAAAGGGGGGGAAATAGTTTAATGTCAATGACTTAAAACAGACCAGGTGTCTCTTAAATATATTGACATAGTTTGTCTTTTTTCCTTAGTAATTTTTTTTTTTTGCTTAAGAGATCTGTAACTCAATATAATGGTCGTCTTCGGAATATGCTTTGTAGGTTGTAAATATTTTTTTTTCTTTTTTGTTAACTTGGTCCATAATTTATGTGGGTTTTGCTTTTGGTCTGGGGGAAGATAGTTAAAACATCTTAGTACATCTAAGATACAACTAGCATTCAACAGAATAATTTGGCAGGTGCATTTGTTTTGCATGTTCTCTTGCAGTAATGTGCTGCTCTTTAGAATAGTTCAAAGGAACTATATAAATATAGTATAATATTTTGTACTGCCTACATGCATGCCCAGATGTTTCTGGTATGGACATTGTGGGTCAGATGCAGGTTAAGTCAACTTCAATTTAGTTTTTACATGCAAAAGTAATTATATAAGCAAGCTCCAAGTAATGGGACTTAGGTTTAGGAAATGGAAATAGGAAATGATTTGAGGGACAAATTATATGTGATGTTTGACATTTTCCTTGATGAATTATAGCACTATTCCATGGGACTAGATGTCTTAAATGAACTCAAACTCTTCTCTTACAAAGTAGAAAACTGGTAGTGAATTTTCTACTGTCATAAACAGCTTATGCTTTCTATGCCCTTGAAAATCATAAAATAGGATTTGGAATGCCTTGTGCAGGCCACACGTGTATTAGCTGAACCTATTCTGGTTCATAAATTTCTAATTATTTTTAATGCATTAGTGCCGACTTCGAGGAGAAATAAAGCTTGTGTGACTTTCAAGTATAGCTTATCTTTCAGAACTGCAGTAGTTTGGAGTGAAAGCAAAAAGTTTGTTATTAATATTGGCTGATGGGGAGCTAATTGTTATAAAGTGATGCAGAACTACTGGGTAAAAATGTCTTTGAATGAGACTATTTCAGTTACTCAAATAACATTGTAGACCAGGTTTATATTAAATTCTAGGTTTATGCCCAAGTCTGAAATATTTTGGAGTAGCAATTACAAACTCCTTAGCTATAGAAGAGCAATTCCGGCTTGTTTTAAAATACTACAAGTTTATTATTAATGCATGTATGTAGATTTACATCGGAAGACAAATGTGGAGTTTTGCTCCAAGCTAGCAGGGGGGTGAGGTAGAGCATTAAATTATGTTCATGTTTTTGCCCTTAAGTTGTTAAGAGTTATTAAGCCAGAGCCCATTTTCAGTCAGATGGCTTTTCCTTTCCTACCCATTAGTGCCTTTGCATAGAATTGGCTTTTAGAGGGAGCTTTCATTCTAAGCACTAACACAGATTTGTCCTTCTCTGTGAAGTATGATCCAAAGGCCACACCACAGTTTGGTTCCATGTCACTGGATGACTGTAATCGTAATTGGAAGCAAGCTAGAGATTTCCAGCTGTAAACTTCTGCTCATGCTGATCTCCATCCCAAACTTTTCAGCCAGGGTGCCTTTTTTTGTTTTTGTTTTTTGGCTGAAGGCTCCACTCATACTTCGAGTCATGGTGGGATTCAGCCAGTTCGCTCCACTTCGGCAGAACTGGTAGTTATTTTTTTGTTGCCCAGGCCCAGAATGGACTTCCAGAAGTGGCATTCACACAGAGAACCGGTTGTTCACATATTTGAATCCCACCACTGCTTTGAGTGCTATGTTGCAGGCCACTCTCTCCCAAAAGCAGTGGTTTGGAATTGGCTGAAAAGCAAAGTGATAATAATCACGATCATCACATTAATTATAATGAATAGGTTCTAGTCATGTTTTAATGTTTCCTTTCTATCATATTAAACATTATAATTGGATTACCTCTTTTAGAGGGCACAGTAAAACCAATAAATGTAAATTCCCCATTGGAAAAATAATATAGCATAAATATTCTTGCACAATGAAGAAAGACATTTGGATACTCTCCTTTGGGTGTCCAGGTGATTACGTTATACCTGGGAATTAGTGTTTATTACCTGCAGGATATCACTTGCTTCACATAAATATTTCCAAAATCCTTTTTACTATGCATGAATAATTGTCTTGGCTCTAAAGGGAATGTTATAATATTCAGCCTTCACAGATACACTACCACTTCATCAAGCAATTGCTTTCCTAAAAATCAAACTGGCACAAATTATTGTCTTTTAAATTAGTAAAGTAAGCTTTATTTATGATTTTAAAAATATTAAAAACTGCACTTCCTTCTTAAAGAGAAAAAGGTCATTTGTCCTTTCTCCTCTTAATTTTTCCCACTTGCCAATTCTCTCTCCTAGGTCACCAAGGCACTCCTACGAGGAAGAAGACTGCAATCTGAAGGAAACAAAAGGAATGATGGAGCAAGTCCATCTGGATGGGGAGTCTCCCACCTTCATCCGATTTGAAACCGGACCATCCAATTTCCTCAAGTTTGTTTCTACTTCAACTTCAGAAGATCAGCCTGAAGCAGAGCTGGAGCAACAGCAGCAGATTAGGGAAACCTTGGAGCTTGGAGAAGGGAATCAGTATGCTGAGGACCAGCTCCAAGAAGAGAACATTACAGAAGAGAATAAGCCCAAGGAAGAGGAAGAAAACCAAAAGGTCAGGGAAAAAAATAGATTTCTGCCATCATTTCCTCCTTCTCCTTTGTATTTGAGTTTGAGAGGCCATAAAATGAAAGATGCATTTCTAAAACAAAAGGGTATCTTTCAAGTATCCTTACTACATTTTCCCAACTGGAACTGTCCAGCTGAATGAGAAGAAACTAAGAAACATAATTTTAGCTGAAGATGGCCATTCTTTTTTTTATATATAAGAGTTTTATTGATTTTTTTCATACATTCAATAGTACTCGTTAACAAACGTGCTGTCTTGAGTTTACATTCTCTAATACAAATTTAATTCCTAATCCTTTATTTTTTCTTCTAGCCATTGATAAAATAAGTCCCAAGTTTGATAATATTCCGTTTCTTCTTTTCCTTTCAACCTCAAAGTCAGTCTATCCATCTCTGCGCATTCTAGTATTTTTTTAATTGTTTCTTCATCTGTGGGTATTTCTTCATTTTTTCAATACTGCGCAAATATAATTCTTGCCGCTGTTGTTACATGTAAAATCAAATATATGCTTTGTTTATCAGTCTTTTCTGGCATTATACCTAATAAAAAAAGTTCAGGTTTAAAATCTACATATTTTTCCAACATCTTTTCTAGCCACATATGTTTTTTTTTCCCAATAACTCTTTGCTTTGGCACATGTCCACCAAACATGGTAATAAGTATCTGACTTATGTTTGCATTTCCAACATCTATCTGACATGTTTTTAAACATTTTTGCTAATCTTGCTAGTGGCAAGTGCCAGAAGATCACCATTCTTTTCTTACGTCTGCGAATGAAGGGGCTAAAATGAAAAGGGAGTAGCTGGACAATACAGAAATTGGTCAAAAGAAGGCTAGGAGAAAGCCAAATTCTAAACACATGTATAACTTTATATTCTACTGCCATTAAACAGTGAAAATGGTATAAAGTTTCCTACCTGAGCAGGGGGTTGGACTAGAAGACCTCCAAGGTCCCTTGCAATTCTGTTATTCTATATTCTAAATTAGCAAATTATAAGAGGAGGATGAAGGTTACCAATCCTTGTCAGCCCAAGTCTTAATCTGGTCATTAAGCGAGGACTACCTGCAGTGCAAACCCAGCCATTGTAACTTATAAATAATTGTACAGTATATGGCTTAGCACAATATAACTTAGTGTGATACATATATATCCAAGTATTTTATCTTGATAAAACTCAGTTTTTTAAAATTTTTGGTAGAGAGTATTTGAGAGAAATGGCAAAGAATTGGGAATGGGCTCCATATATATGTGGGAAATGGTTGTACTGGATCTAGTAGTATATGTTTGAAAAGCAAATTAAAAAGGAACAGGAAAATGTCTGAGATTTTAGATTGCATTTGTAGGAACATGACTATCTTAAAAATGTACTGGTGAAATACAACAGAAAAATAATACAACAGTATTAAAATATTGATTAAAATAAACTAAAAACTATGTGTTATTGATATAACACTCATTCCTGTAGTACATTATTAAATCTAGCAACACAGAACTCCATCTTAGTAGTGTTAAAATATTTTTCTAGTCATTTAAAAATTGATGAATAATACAACTCTTGAAGCTACTCTTCAACATCAAGAGTATAATTTTTTTCCACCTATATATATGTATTTGTTTGAACTCTTGCTTTGATAAAGCCAAAGTTCTTCATAAAATTTAATAAACGAAGTGCTTTGAACTTTGCACAAGGACAACGACTTCTCTGCTGTTACTTAGAAAAGATTCCCTCCTGAGGATTCTGTGCTAGCTTGAAAATAAAATGTGGCTGGACTGTTTTAAATGTGTTTGTGGCAGAGTTTGTGCTTATGCATATTCCAATCCATTTTTCTGATGCCTAGCCCTGAATAGCTGATCATTGAAGCCCTTAGTGTAGGAGAATCAGAGGTTCTGCCTCAGATCTCCATCTCAGATCTTCAAACCCTGCATAAGTTGCTTCCATAAATACTTCAGATTCAGTTTTCCAAGAAAGCAACTAGAAAACCTGCAAGACTCTCTCCAGCTTCATACTAAACCGGATTTTTTAAAAGCCAGGATTTTTTTAATTAAGTCAAAATTAGCTGCAACTACATGAAAGAGTAAGCTATAAACCATGTAAACAAAGCCACAGAATTTGTTTATAAACAAAGCCACAGTCTCGCTTCACATCTGTCAGACCAAGCCAGACTTAACTATGTGCTGATTTCCCGTGACATACTGTATGGTTAAACATGCTGAGGTGGGTTCTTCTTAGCATGTTGTTGCTTTGTTGTGTTGACTGAGAAGAGAGAAATTGGTTGCATTGAGCAAATGCTTCCTTTTATGCATTTTTCCATCCAGGACAAGAAAATATGCCAATATGAGCAAGAAGAGGTCCCAGAAAAACAAAGGATCCCAAGTAATTCCAGTCAGGAAGAGGAATATCAAGGTCCTTTAAGCCCAACATTAAAGGTATGTATTGAGTTGTGTAGGGAGGCATGGGAAATGCTGACTAACAGATCAGTTTATAACCACAAGCCCAAAGCCTTATAGAAGTGATCAAAGTAGAGGAATACCCCAAAACGTTTTCTTTCTATGCAGTCAAGCTCAACAAGGTTTGTCATTTGAAGACTTTGAATGGTATGCTAGGCCCTATTTGAGGAGGGAGTTTCAAGAGTTTTTAAGGGATGGAATAAGTACTTTAAGCATATCTATGTTTTCCTGTCAAATCCCCTAAATGTCTGACAGCATAAGAAAGGCAGCAAAATCTTGGCCCTACCCATTCTTCTTTTTGGAAAGGAAGCTGGCACCAACCCACACTTTGTATTTTTCCTCAAGGCAACTGTCCAAATGAAGCTGTTGTTTCTGTTTTTTAGATCACTGACAGAACTGAATCCCTGAACCGATCTGTGCAGAAAAGGTAATTTCTGATGAAATAATGAATGTTCCAAGCTGTATGGCCTTTGTCCTTTCAGTGGGCTACTGGTAGCTGTCTCTAAGTAATTTTGTTTTCTGGATACAATCTTCCCAAGTAACTAAAGACAGAGGTAAAATCTGTTATAACAACATGAGGCTCAGTTCAGCAGTATATGTTAAATAAAATGAGATTAAAATAAGAAACTTTCAAAATGCCACTTCAAATGCCAAATACAGTGTACAAGAATGTGGATAACATTTAGTAGAAAGCTCGAGTTATGATGCCACCTATTGAAAGAGCTTTGCTGTGAGCTCTGCAAATAGTTCAGAATGATGCTTTGTTCATGATCATTGTGTGTCTGAAAGGTCACTTTTCAATGTGTTGAGCTGCAGAAAATATTTCCTGTTAAGGCAATTTCTCCATCTCTCCAGTATTCTATTATGCATTCCTTCTAGGCATTCAGAATTTATCAAACAAGTTAAAATGTTCATTGAATTTACAGAACCCTAATCAGGGTTCTGTCAACAAATTACTCTGAATTGTTGCTGCCACTTATTCTTCTTGTGTATGTTTTATATAACATATTAAGCTGTAGTTTGCTTAACTAAAGGCTATTAAATAAACTCCATTTGATACAGATACAGATAACCACGAATCATGATTTACAAATCATCCTGGCTGGGTTCATACAAAAACTAAGCCACAAATAAGCAAGCCACGATGCCATTTAGTGTGATATGTGATCTGTGCAAATTGTGGAAATCACTGATCATAATTCTGAATAAACAATGGTGATTAGGCTCTTAAATGTTGGTAAGCATCAGTGGTAAGCATCCTTTCTACCATCTTCTCTCCATCCAGTAACAGTATGAAGAAGACCCAGGCGCCACTTCCAGTTTCCAAGATTGATGATAAGCTTGAGCAATACACTCATGCACTTGAGGTGAGCTTAAATTCACTGACTTTGACAAGCTTTTCAAAGAGATACTTTTGGGGTCTTCTTAAGAAATGTGGTATAGCAAGTCCATTCAAAAGCCTAATTCCAGTGATTTTCAATCATTGGCAAGTTAACTGAGCACTATTGTCCCCCATGCAAGATTTTAGCTTTTGATGTCCTCTGAAGATGTCCTCCTTTTCATGGCAGCCAAAAAGTAGAGTTGCGTTACAATTTTTTGTTTGGCAATTAATTCCCAATGGGCTAAAATCCAACTTCTGATACTGTAACGCTTGCCTATGGATGCTGAACCTGACTGATGGCGTTCTCTTTTCTCTTATGTGATGTAACTGATTTATGACTATGAAATGAACGCAATGTGTGTACCATAGGTGTCTGAGCTGCTGTGCACTGTTTTTCTCTGCATGGCCATTGATAGGAGATTACAGCCCTGGTGGCACAGAGGTTAAAATGTAGTGTTGCAGGCAACTCTGCCCACAGCAGAGTTTGATCCTGACTAGCTCAAAGTTGACTCAGCCTTCCATCCTTTTGAGATCAGTAAAATGAGGACCCAGATTGTTGGGGGCAATCTGCTGACATTGTAAACCACCCAGAGAGGGCTGTAAAGCACGATGGGATGTTATATAAGTCTAAGTGCTATTGCTATTATATTGGCACAAAGGCTGTCAGGAGGAGGCATTTTCTGATCAGTTGCTGAAGTGAATTACTACCATAATGCTGATTCTTCCTAAATGAGTTCATAAAGATGCTTGACTATGAAAGAGAGGTTGTTTGAAACTAGAAAACTAGTTCACCCTTATATTATTTTGCAGATCTCCAGCAAAACTCCAAAGCCAGCACGCCAACTTTCCATTGACCTTCCTACCAATACTGCAGCAGTGGCCAGCACAAAAAACCTTTGGGAGACTGGGGAAGTGTCTCAGTCTTCTACAAAATCAATGCCCTGCAAGGTAACTTCTTCTTCTTTTTTAACTGTGGTCAAATCCCTACTATTGGAAAGATACAATTTCTTCTACAGATATTGATCTTGTGATGAAAATGATGTCAGGGTATAAATATCACCAACCAAATGGTACCAATATGGATGGACTCTAGATTGGATGCAAAACATAAGACTTTTTCACAGGGGGCAGTTCAACCCTCTCATCATGTCTGTGTTCTTCCTAGGACATTGTGGCTGGAGACATTGTGAATATTAGAAGCCTTTGGGAACACAAGGAGAGCTCCCAAACAGATGCAAATTCGAAGGTGAGGATTGCTGCTTCCTTTGGGGAAAATGCTATGATGAAGCTAATTTTTCTGTATAAGTGGCCAAGTGTGTTAGGCCTCATGGGGCTTTGCTGGAAGAGGGCCCAGAAGTGATGCAAAATGAAACAACACAGCAGCTCCATTTCACTCTTCCTAATGCAGCTTTGGAAAGATGCTTCACGTAAAGCAGGGGTGTCAAACTGCCGGCCCACAGGCCAGATGCATTATGCAGAAGCTGTGCCCACCCTAACTCTGGCAAGGAGAAAAAAGTCACGCTATGTTGCGACACATCACGTGACACGGCAAGTTTGACACCCCTGATGTAAAGCATTGTCAAAGCACCCTTCAAGCCATCCTGTGAATATTAAAAGGAAGATTGTTCCATTATTGTGGCTGAATGCAGTTGGATCTTCCTCAGCTCATTGAATGCAAGCTCTTCTGTTCATCGTATTAAAGGAAAATTGTTCCACTATATTAAGTGAAATATGTATTTAATTCAGTGTTTTATTTTGCCAAAAGCAAAGGAGCTGCTTGGAGAAACCCACAACCAGGTCAGGCATGTAATAGCATCTTCCTGCTTGCATTTCCCAACCAATGACATACAGAGGCATATTGCCTCTACCTATGGAGCTAAAAACAAATGTTCACATTGATTAATCCTGGGTCACACATTCCTGCCCAGTTCCTCCACACAAATCAGAATTCTATGTGCTTCATTGCCATATCTCCATCCAAAAAGGGGATGGAAAGAGGTTGAACAGAGGAAAGGAAAATTTGCAAGTAACTAGCTCCAAGGTAGTTGTGCAAATTTTCTTAATTTTCTATGAAACTGGATTGGATGTATTTTTTAATTCCAGGTGAGTGGCCAACTATGTCTTTTTTAGCCCAACACCTCAAAAGGTGGTTGTTGTGGGAAAATGGGAGGAAGAAGTTGTCTTGTATATGTTTACTACTTGTTACTTGTCAAAATAATAAGGCAAGATACAAATTAATAAATAAAAAAATAAAGTTATGAATTGTTCCCTTATATGCAACATAAAGCAGATTCAGGAATTTGGCATATGGTTTTGAGGAAAAGAGTCAAGAGATTGAAAACAATGGATGACTTAAATAGATATAAAGAAAAACCTCCAATGCTTTGTAAAGTATAGCATCAATATTTAAGGAATAAATATGGGAAACAGAAGGGCAGAGAAAAGGAATCACCAAAATTCCCCTTTGCAATGTGTATACTTATGTTCTCTTTCCCATTTTGCATCTTCTATCTGTATTCTTGACCCTGTTCTCATTTTATTTATTGCATTTATTTTTGGGGGGAGGGGGGCTGGAGGAAATGTATACAACTGCATATCTTATATAAATAATTCCAAATGACTAACAACCAGTTCACAAGAAAAACAATGCAATATAAAAAATAACAAAGAAGTATCATTTAAAGTAGCATCCCCAACTTTTCTGGATCCATGGACTGGTGGCGACACGGGGGGAGGAGAAGAGAGAGGATGGTTTCTCATGCTTGCCTCCCACTTTCAAGACTTGGTTCCCAACAGGCTGCAGACTGGTACCCATCCATGGACCAGGAATTGGGGACCTCTGATTTGAAGTGTAGGAGCAGCTGGAATAACTATTCAGCAGATTTGCTTGTTAACGTCTGAGTTATCTTTCTGCGGAGGTTTGAGGTGATTTTGCTTTTGGATACAGAGGTCCAGGTTTTCCTGGTATCGAATAATGAGCTGTAGTTTAAACTTTCAGGCCAAAGAAAAGGGAGCAGAAGCACAGCGCATCAAACCAGCCCTTATTTGATGGCTAATGGTCAAACTGAGGTTTTTCAAAGCACTTCAAAAACTGTAGGATGGAATGGTGGTAGGGATTTGGGTTTTAACCACTGAAATTGCAATTTCTCACCCTCATTTTTAGGTCAGGATTCCTGGCAAGAAATATAAGTATGTGGCAATTGGACATGGACAGTACAAAAGGGTGCCAATAGAAGATGATGGGGTGACGGAAAAATAGCTGTCCTGTGTACCAAACTCACAGGTAAAGGTAGGATGATGTACTAAATAGCATTTGCAAATCCTTTCTGCATATATAAAGTCAATAATATTCACCATGTCCCGTCTTGCTTTGCTATCAGAATTCTACAAGTAGTGAAGAATTCTTTATAAAGTGACTGTTTGTCACGTTCTCCCTTACTAAGATAACAAACAATGCAGACGTGGACTTTTATTGGACCAGTCACATTTTAAGCTCAAAAATCAACCTGAGGTTGGATTTGGAGTATTTAAGGAATGATTCATGTGGTGTATTTTAAGGGATGTATGGGAGAGGCTTGTGTTTGCTTAGGGTAGCATTCCTTGACTCTCTACTAGCAACAAGAATCATTTTTTTTCCATAGAAACACTTTATTCAATCTACATACTCAAAAGTTTATAAAAATTGTTCTTGAGTCAGGATTTCACATGAACTGCCTTTGAAATGCGTGGGTCTATAGCCGTGAAAAGAATTCTCTCAATGTTTCCGTAACAACGACAAACCATCCTAGCTTATTCATGATAATTTCAGAAAAAGCCCAGAACATCTTTTGCTTCCATCATATATGACTGTTTCTTTTCTTACCATATTACCTGTTTCTCTTAGGAACCAAATATTTCTATTTCCTCAGTGTTCAACATACCTTCCGTGTCTTATATTATCATCTCAAAACATTGGCACTTGCTCTACCAGACATTTGAAACCTTAGTGTGGTTTGTGTACTCTTTCTTTACTTAGAATTCTCTCACGACCCAACTAATTTTGGCTAAAAAAACATATTTGAAGATGTCCGAAACTGAACTTGGCTTTTATAATCTTTTAAAAGAATAAGGCAGCTAAATCAGTCCAGGACATCTTTATCTCCTACTACATTGCCCTTAAAGTTAGGACAAAAGACATTAACATTACATTGCTTTACTTGCCTGCCCTTTTTGCAATACAGTATGTGATACCCTTAGATTCTTACCTATATGTAAACTTTAAGACACTGTTAATATAAATAATGAGTAGAACACACCAATCAAAAGTGAACACAAATATATCAGTTGACTCTGTTTTGGTAAATTGGGTGGCAGGTAGGAAAACCGCTTGCAGTTTCAACATTTTTGATTCTTAGCCCTGAGGTACTGCTAAATATATGTGGCTAAGAAGTTCTGGTGTTCCATGTATTCACACTAAAGGAGATTGAGCTCCATGTCTCATACGCACATTTGAGATTTCTTGAGGCAACAGGCAGCTGACACAAAAACTTGTTTTCCAATGATCTGATCAAAAACTATGATCTACTACTGCATGGCATACAATGAGAGTGTAAATACTGGAATAACAGAAAAGAACTCAGAGATTCCCTTCTATCCCTTCTGTGATGGCATTTTTGGAATTGTATGTTTGTTCTCATTCTTCTGGCAATTCTTCTGAAAAACAGATTATGAGGTGATGGTAGTTTGCTTCCTATGATATAAAACAGAGGACCTGCAAGAGAACTATAGTAGTCTAAAATCTGCTATCCACATCACACTTTTCAAAGCATCAATGCTGGAGTAAAAACTGGGCATACAACTATATATAGTGAAACTCAACTCATACTAATACTTTTTCTAGCCAACTTTAACTTGAAGGATGTGTGCCTTTTTCACAGCCTGGAAGGATTGAGTGGCACTTCTCCTGATGCACTCTACTTATCCACAACATTGTGGAATGGGATGGTTGAGCATTCATTGCTGCAATGAGGTGGTTAAACAAGCAAGACATAAAGAGATACCTGTAGTCTCTCAGGTAGATGCTACTTTAACCAGCTCCCATTTTTCCATTCAAGTCATCCATTCTCAATTTGTGATTGTGTAGAGAAACAAAAGCATGAGATTTAGGTGAATGATACATAAAGGAAACAGTAGCTGGGACATCTTTATACTGATAATTAGAAATCAGTGTATAGCATATGCATACACAGCTTGGCTCTATGAGGGGAGAGCATCAAGGATTCCCAAATTCACCTTGAGTCTAGTTTGATAGTCAAGACCTTATATGGATTTTGGAAGGAAGGCTTTCCCCTAAATCTTTCCAATTCTGATAGCGGATACTCATGTTTTACAACTACCAATGGGAAAATGATAGTGAAATGGCTGAAGATCTATGCCATTAATCGCAAAACTGCCAAATTCGGTCAGGTACAAAATAGGAAGTCCGTGGCTATTTCTCTGCTACATCAATAGCCATTGGCTACTTCCTGTTTTGCAATTATCTTAGCATTTGGGATATTAAAATTTAGCCATAGCATGATTATAATATCTTTCCATAAAACGGTGATATGAATATCTGACTCGTCTGTGTTCTTGCAGTATCTCAGTGGAAAATATTCTAGATGGCTTAGCATTACTCTTTTATGAATCCCTGGCTAGTGATGGCGGTGATGATAACAACAGTCTTTTTTTCCAGGCTCCCTCCATGAGTTAAAAAAAGAAAACTTTTGTTAATCTTTTGGAGCTGATGGCCTCGAGCATTGGCAATTGCCTGACATTGTTTAAAAGCTAGGTTCAGCGGGGTAAATTGATATTTATTTGCACAGGATTTTCACTTTTTGGGATGTTTAAAATTGGTCTGCAGCTGCTTTCTAGGGGAAAATATCCTTGATGTGGCCATGCTACATTTTGCAAATGGTTTAAATTGATTTCACTGCAGTTAAGAGAAGTACAGAATTGTCTAGATTCCACAACTTGAGTTTCTCTTGAGGGGTGCCCAAGAAAGAATATTATCCCGGCTTTTGTGGAATCAACACTGCTTGCCCTGTTTCTCAATTCAGTGCTTATTTTGTGATGCTGGCTACCAGAGCACCTTAAGGAAAACGTATCTTTATTAATGTACCTATTCATTAAGGGCCTTATCAAAGGCTCTACTCTAGGAAGTTGCATCTATGGGATATTAAACCTGTCAATGATTCTTTTGATGGGGAAACTGAAATTTTCTCTCTGAAGAGGCCTGCCAGACAACTTTTTATGCTCATGTGAGCTAAGCCAAACAGTTTTATCTTTTTAATGTCATCTTTTAAAAATAGGAAGCCATCTTGAACCTTGTTCTTGTATAACTATTGATTTCAAACTGCAATTGTGGGTGCATGTTAGTACTGCAATTTAGATTTAGGCTATACATGAGAGACATTTTTTTCCCCTGCCAGAAACATGAAAGTAGCTTGTGAAAGCAATCATTGCTCCTACTATTAGATATAATCCTACTCATCTTGTCCTCTAACCAAAAGGTCTAAACCTGTGGACAGCTTTTGAACTTAAAAGGGGGATGGGGAGAGAGAGATCCTGAACATGTGTACCATGATGTGGGATGATTGCTTAGCTCTGTTCAAAACGCCATTGACTGAACATGGAAGAAAAGCCAAGATCTTTGGCATTATTTTAGAATAAAAGATAGGCTTGGTGGAGCAAGCCAATACATTTCTGTTCCATCTTATATTTTATTTCAGCAGATGGTTTTAACTTCTTATTTCTATATAGGCTGTTATTCTAAAAACAAGGCTCTCTCTGTTAAACCTGAGTAAAACAGGCATATTCATCTTTCGGTATATAGATAATGACGCTGTGAAGGATTTTATTTTATTTTTTTCCCCTCTCAAGTGCTGCTTTAGTAAAATCTGGATTTATTTCAGATTCAGCCCACTGATCATCTTCTCAAGGAAACATCTATTCTTCTCTTTCCTTCACCTGCCACCCAGACGCCCTCCTATTAAAACCCATCTGCGTTTCTTCAGATGGTTGGCGTTCGATACGACGCACATCAAACAGAGTAGTGATCTTTGTCATGGGTTTGGAAGCCAGCTCTTTCAGTTTCCGGGCGTCAAAGTGTGGCCTGTGGAGAAGCAGTGGTAAACGTCGCCGGAATGAAAACATCCCCTCTTTTCTGATTTCCTTTTCTTCCTCAGCTTGTTGCCTTTTTTCCTTGCTGACTGTCATCTGGTACATGATGGCATCCCACATCTTGATGGCTTTTGACTTGGTTCCTTTTTTCTCCTGACCTGGGTCGGCTGCTGAAATTTCAGTTACTGTCTTTTCTCTTCCTTGCTCTGGCTCAGATTCTGAGACTTGGATCTGAGGAACTTCAGATTCCACTACCAAGTGTTTTTTGAGACGAGACCATCCACTAAGTTTGCTTTTGGGGGGCACTGCTGGCTTTGATTTGAGTGACGAGCTGGCAGGACTCTGGGAGGCAGATGGTGGTGGTGGCGGCGGTGGCGGTGATACAGCCTGCTGGTTTAACCTTTGTGGCAGGACAGTGGATGGTGCAGGAAGGGTCGTTTCTGGCCTCGTGTACTGTGGTGTGTTGGAGCCTGACTGTCTCTGGACTTCAGTGTGTGGTTCAGGGCTTTTGCTGATTCTTGGAGTTATAGGCCTGTCCAGCTGATGAGTTGGGGATGTAACCGCGGTATACTGCCTGGGGATATGGAGTATTTCAGCTTTCATTTTTCTGGTGGGTGGTTCAGGGGGTGTAGAAACATCTAACTTGGGAGTAAGTGACCTGGGCTGCTGTACAAAAGATGTGTCATATGTCTGGCTTGATAATGAAGCTGCATGGCTTGTTTGCAAATGGACACGACTTGAATATTCCTCTGGCTGTCCTATTAGTGGAGACTTAACCCTTGGTGCTTGCACACTGTGAAATGAGGAATGCGTTTCAGCCACATGAGTGGCCAGGACTGGCGTCTCCACTTGAGAAGTGGAGGAAATGGGATGTTTGTGAGAAACAAAGGCAGGGGACAAGAGAGTAGGGGGACCTGACGGGAACTCTGCGGATTGCCTCGGTGACTCGGGAGTTGTCGGTCTGTGATGCGGAGATATGGCAGGTGAGACGGTTAGTTTGAGATGCTCTGAAAGACTCCTCTGTTCTGTAACTGTGAAGGTGAAGGGCCTTCCTTTAGGGAAAGGAGAAGGAACATGATGGATGATGGGCTTGACTGAAAAGCGGGGTGGAAGATTGATAGTGAGACGGACTTCAGTTTCTGGTGACTT